TATCCCATTCGACATGAAAATAAATAGCATGGGTTTTAATATTATACAATTTCATAAAATTATTCTAATTATTTTTAAAGAAATAAGTTGAATATATTAGAAGTTTAGGCTGCAAAACAAGAATTCAACTGTTCTCATACTACTACACAATTATTATTTTTTATAGGTTATTTTGAAAAACAAAAAATGTTTCTATACTTTATCGGCATTATGAGGACAAACATTATCGATTTTAATTTTTTTTTTACTTATAGTTGTTAATAATAGATGATTAATGGTGTTGTATGATATGATTTATTGATTAAAATTCATTAACTTCAGTGTATATAGGCATATCATGATTCTCTAGATATATTAATAAATTTGTAGACGATCATATGATCAAAATTAAATCAGTTGCTCAAGTAGCATCTCATTCGATAGGAAAACAATTGGAATGACTTTTAGTATTAGAAAATTTTATAAAATTATTCTAATCTTATTTAAATAAATAAATTGAGTAGATTAGAAGTTTGAGTTGCAAAACAATTATTCAACAATGTATCTCTCATAGTGTTACACAATTTTTTGTTTCTCATAGCTTTTTTTTTTTAAAAAAAAAAAATAAATCTATAGTTTATGGTCGTTATGAGAACAAGTAATATCGATTATCGACTTCATATTTTTACTTATAGTTACTAATAAACTTATAAAATTAAATAAACATTGTTAAAAATTTATCTTATATACTTACGGTTAAAACTCTTAAAATTATTAAAAAAATCATAAAAGTATTTACCGATCTTAAAATAATGTCAATAAATAAAATATTTAATATACACAAATTTGAATTGACATTGCACAAAAAATCCAAACCATTAAAATGCAATCATAAAATAAAAAAAAAAATAAATAATGGGGCAATTCTGAAATCCATTCACCGCAATTCTCCACAATTTGAAGGGCGCATGCTTTGGTTTGATTTGCCATAGATTTTGTGCGGATAGCTACGCTGCCCGAACCTTGGTTAGGTATTTAAATTAATGTTAGTTAATCTATCAAATACATGTATTAAAATTACGAAACTGCCATTATAAATATGACATAATAAGGTTATTTTAGGCAATTAATATTTTTACAGATTTATTGACACTTTTATAATAGTATAGATAGATAGATATAGATATAGATATAGATATAGATATAGATAGATAGATAGATAGATAGATAGATAGATAGATATAAATAGATAGATTGTATTTTAAATTATATATAGTGTGAGAATAACTTTTTCATAGAAGAAAGTTAAATATTTTCTGTAATATGATATTTTCTCCCTAACTTTAATTTCTTGTTTTTGAGCTCAAAATGTGCTGATTTTACGGTTCATTTATTAATGTTCACATCCTTCATAAAACCTGGACCTTCTTTATTCCTGTTTCCTTAACTAACTCTTTATCCCATCTATTTTTATTTGTTTCTATAATCTGCAGTGTAATAATAACATTAATTTTCTTGCCTTTATTGTATAATTTCACCTACAAGCCACGAAAAAAAAAGATACCTTGCTCTATGCTTTTTTCATACACTTAAACCAATAAAATGCTCCAATTTATTAAAGTGATTTCAGCTTTCAGCTATTTTTTCATGCTCTTCATTAGAAAAAATTGCACTACTCGTCCACTAACAATACCTTAGTTGCACTTTCGTCCTTTAGTTGTTTCCGGTTTACAATTGGTACACTAACTTTATTATTTTGGTAATTTTAGTCCAAAATTACATTCCGGTGTTCATTTTCGTCGGAATAGCTGATGTGGCGCCCAGTCAGATCGGAATTTCTATTCTCGGCGTGATGTGGCATGAGGTGACGCCTAGTCTGATCGGAAAAATTGCACTATTCGTCCACTAACTTTACATTCGTTGCACTTTCGTCCTTTAATTGTTTCCAATTTACCAAATCAAAAAAAATTATTAAAAAAATCAAACGAAAAATAAAAAGCTTTAAAAAGAAAAAGAAAAAATCAAAAGAAAAAGAAAAAAATATAATTTTTTAATTTAATAAAAAATGAAATATTTAATGATTAAATAAAAACGAAATATTTAATAAAAACGAAATAAATTTATAATGAGTGATAAATATTTTTTTATTTAATGATTAAGTATTTAATACAAAAATGAAATATTTAACAAAAAATGAAAAATATTTTTTTAATAAATATTTAATCTTTCATTAAATATTTAACCATTAATTTAAATATTTATTAAATATTTATTACTCATGAAAATATTTATTTCATTTTATATTTCTTTTTTTATTAAATATTTTTTACTTTTTATTTAAATAAAAAATATTTTTTCATTAAAAAAAAATGATAAATATTTCTTTTTTATTAAATATATAACCATTAAATAAAAAATGTTTATTTCTCATTAAACATTTATTTTGTTTTTCATTTTGTTTTTTATTAATTATTTCGTTTTTAATTAAATAAAAAATGTATTTTATATTTTAAAAAAAAAGATATTTTTTATTCATTAAACAAAATGATTTTTTTATTAATTAATATTCGTTTTTTGGTTAATTTTTTTATCCACATGTATTTTATTTTTCTTTTTCTTTTGATTTTCTTAATATTTTTTTCTTCTGATTTTGTAAATTGGAAACAATTAACGGACGAAAGTGCAACGAATGTAAAGTTAGTGGACGAATAGTGCAATTTTTCCGTTCTGACTAGGCGCCACCTCGTGCCACATCACGCCGAGAATGGAATTCGGATTTGACTGGGCGCCACATCGGCTATTCCGACGAAAATGAGCACCGGAATGTCATTTTGGACTAAAATTACCAAAAAAAAGAAGTTAGTGTACCAATTATAAACCGAAAACAATTAAAGGACGAAAGTGCAATGAGGGTATAGTTAGTGGACTAATAGTGCATTTTTTTCCTCTTCATTATGTCCAAGCATTGTTTCTCAATCCGGACCAGGCTGACCCGGAGTTGGAACCGATCCAGGTGGACTATTTGGACCGAGTAACAATGGACCCGGTCACACCCGTTCAAAACCCGGCCAACTCGGTCTTCATCCGTTCGGGACAACCCAGTTGACCCGGTCCATATATATTTTTTATTTTTTTAAATACATTTTATATACGAAAATAAAAACTATGTAAATATATTGATGCAGTAAATATTTATTGTGAGATACAATTCTTTTTACACTTTGATTTACAAATTTTATATACAAAACATTTATTTTTGTTACTTTTATGTATATTTATATGTCAAAAATAATATATATATATAATTTAAAAAATTTTAAACTTAACTATCCGGTTCAACAATTGACCCAGTGACCCGACGGTTGAACCGATGATCCGGTGACCTAAAGACTTGCCGAGTCGATTTGCTGGCCTGGTTTAAATCTATGTTTCCAAGTATATA